CCAACCCCCGCCGCCCCCTGAAGGCAGCGCGACACCCCGCCACCACGCCCTGGACACGCGCACCTTTTGGCCGCGATTTTTTTCTCACTTGCGCATTTTCATGTAACAACAATCGCGCCCCCCGGCGCAAAATTCTCCAACGCTCCACACATCATTTCCCGAAGGTGTCGTGTCGTCCTTTCCCTATCCGCTGTTTAACCGCCACCGCCATCGTTCATAAGGGGTTTTGGGACTAGTACCGTACCTGTTCCCTTGCATCCCCGCCCTCGACACAGCCCAATTTCCATCGCCTAAACCTTTTCCCCTGCACCGCCGCCGCCGCCACCGTTGCCTCGCTCGACGACCCAACCCAACCTGCCGCCGTGTTCGAACCCGACGTCTTATGCTCTCTTTCGTTTCTCTCTCTGACTCTCCTCTCTATCTGGCCGCCATTTATCCGACCGTCGTCAACTGCCTCCGACAACGCCGCCACCTCCTCCATTCACGCGAGCCGCACACACTTCTCCTTTCCCGTTGCAGTATTGCGATTGACTGATTCTGCTCGTCACTGGCTCTATTGTCGCCTCGTGCCTTGCCTCATCTCAACACCCAAACCGTTTGCCATTCCCGCGGCGAAAAGCCAAGTTGAGGGTTCGCCCCAACAACGACTCGCGTCATTAACAATCCTGTCGCCCTTGGGGCGTCTGGTCCACATGGGTCCCCGAAAGAAGGCTCCTCGATTCATAATCCTTCTTTGCACAGCCCACCTTCAATGCTAGCAAATATCTCGAAGCACTCTCCAGGCCCTGCGTCTTCATACTCGCCTCCCATGACGTCCCCCGTCAACGTCATCCACGTCCTTCGCAATGCACGCCAGGATGCTCAAAGAAATGCTGTCGTCCTTGATAACATTTCAACTCCACAAAACACTGGCTCGCGAACACACCGAGTCTCCTCCCAACCAAATGCTGAACCACAATCGACAAAGACGCCAAGTTCCGAGAAGAAAGATGTTTCGCGGGGAGGCCCAGCCTCGCCAGTCGAAAAGGAACTACCTAGATGTGTGCCGGAAGTCACTGCGTCTAAGGATAGCAAGAAACCAGAAGGGGGTGGTGACAGTTTGCCGACATCCAAGGCGAAAGATACATCGTCGAAGCAAAGTTCACCGCACCCAATAAGCAAATACATTTTATCCTCTTTGTTTACTGCTGTTGATCGCCTCGCTGCCAAATCGAAAGATGAAGAGAGTCACAACTATCTCTTTCTTAACAATGGAAAAGAGAACAATTTCCTCTACGGACTAGTCGTCCCACTAATTGCAAGATTGCTGGCTGTTAGTTGCCCGGGAGTTCTTTGTATCGTTCAACTCCCTCGCCAACCTCGACATGTGGAGTGGAGCTCACCGGCGCACTGTAACTACGGTTCCTATGGATCCAATGGATCCAAAAGCTTAAGTCACACAACGCCCTCGCCCCAGGACACATCTCGAACGGCATCTCCCTCCGATGAAGATCTGGGGGGTGCTGAACGCAAGTCAATTAGTCCCGACTCCAACCCTGGAACAGCAGAGCTTATTCGGCATGCTGATAAGATCTTATCCGGCGCCGAAGCTGCCGCCGAGGGAAGGGCCGCAGCAGCAAGACTTCGGAAAGAATCTTCGCCACCGCCCAATAATTCCGTGCACGATCATGGTACCCTTCGGCTTATCTGCAATGGCTTCGAGGTGCTGACCGGGAAAATGCCATCTCCGAAATCTAGTATGGGTCCCTTTACGATGGCCTCTGTCGGATGGGAGAAAGCTGGCGTTGTATCGCCGAGCACGCCAAGCAAGGGTGTCACAATGAGCTTCTCAAATGGGATGATGGTTCCCACGAAGGGAATAGTGGTGACTTTTTCGAATGGCTCGATGTGCTTTTTGACGCTGGAGGATCCCCTGCTGGCTGCTGAAAGTTTAAGAGTTTCCCTTGCCACCCCAGTTGTAGTATTCTCATTCTTACATCCAGGAGATGTACCCTGTGGCTCTGTCTTACAGAGTGAAGCAGCAACGCCACATCCGGAGGCCGAGAGAATCCGCGCAATGCTTGACAGAGAAAACGTTTTCGTCGTCGAAATTGGAGATGCAAATAACAATTCGTCTAGTAACGTAAGCGGAAGTCCTGATGCTTCAGAAAGCACACAACCGGACGCAGCACAGATTGTGTCGTTTGGACATGGAGATGTGCTGGAATCCAGAGAACCGGATCCAAAGGAGTCTGTCGATTTGTGCTCTCCTCATAGGTGTCCACCGGTAGTCATTGGAGCAGTGCCAAGGGCAATTCCATTGTTTGTGAATACAATCAATCAGACTTTCATTGACGGGCCTTTTTATGAAGTTCCCGAAAACTCTTACGGGAACACGCTTCCAGATGATCGCTTTCGAGATATTACGCACAGCTCGCATCTGCGGCGGTCGTCTCGAGGCAGAATCATCAACCGTGAAAGCAAGAGGGTACGACATCCGAATGGAAAAGCGCCATTCCCGGCGCCAGGACAAGCGACATATAATAATGGAATTGTTCAGACTACTGCACAATACGATTCTGCCTCGGATAGGGCTCATGTAGAAGGACTTTCTCACGAGAGCTCCCTGAAGCAGTCCGAGTCAGTCTTGCAATCGAACAGTACGATTGAGTCAGCTCATTTGCACGCTTCTTCCTCTCCAGCCGTGAGTCAAGCTCACACTTCTGGTGGACCTCCTACGTCTCTCAATCAAGAGACTGCTGCGTTTCAAGGTCAGTCTATGCACGAGTACTACCCGTACAGTCCTTTTCCATCGTTTCCCCCTGGGTATTTGCCCGGGCACGGCGGGCAGGACTCGCGAAATATGGCAGGACCGGGTGCAGTTCGGCATCAAGGACATGCTCCAGTGAATGGAACAGATCTTCGGTATTTCCATGCAGCACCACCGCCCCCATCTGGACCGATTGGTCATGGGCAGTATCACCACCAACCATACTACTCAGTACCGCTTCCAGGCATGGCTCACAGTGTACCGCAGAACGGTAGACCGTGGCATGAGAGAATGCCAACTCTCTCACACCCACCGGCACCTTTGCCGTCTCCCCATCCAATGGACGCACGGCGGGATATGCCAGTGCATTTCTCGTCGCACCGAGCAGTGGTTTCAGCTCATGGGCACTACAATTCCCAGCACTTCCAAGGTCCACCACATCTAAGCCAGGGATATGACGGGAGGCACAACCATACGGTCCATGGCCCAGGCGTTGCAGTGTACCAAGATCATAAACCGTCACGTAATTATTCGCCAGTTTCTGCTGGTATGGCGGGTATCCCTGTTCGTGATTCCCCGATGGGCGAAAGTTATTACAAGATGGCTGACGCGTATACAAGCGGAGAGAAACAGCCGGCCAGGAATCATGGAGGGACTCCTAAAACAGGCATAGCAGCACCACCCCAACATTTACAGAGCGTCGTCACCACAAAGCTACCGCTCGGTAGTGTGCCGTCAGAACATGAGCAGCTATCGAAGGACAAGGAAAGTGCTCTACGGGCTTTAATGGAGATGCAAAGCGGTGTTCATGGCGAGGCTAGAGCACAGCGAGGAAGAAGCGAGACCGCAACGGAAGGGCACCACGACAGGAGCGTTGAGAGTCGTGCGCCTGGAAAAGAAAAACACTGGCGGAATACATCCTCGCAAGCTTCCCATGCAGATAGGGAAATAAGACCTGCTGCCACTGCTAGTTCACCCCAAGACGGATCGTTTATAGCAAATAATCGATCACATGTGAGCACTGGAACAAACAGCGGGACAAGCACAAATAGTCACAGTCAAGGAAAGGCACTCACACAAGGTGCCATGATTGGAAACTCTCCACATTCAAACCATCAAAGCCGCATTGCTTTACAAAGAAAAAATAAGAGGCAGAGACTTGAGTGAAGACAACTGGAAGAGCCGTTGAGGTTGTTCTCTGACAGCAATGGCAAGCTGAGGACGGGCATGAATGGTAATAGAGATGTAAATATGTCGTCAAACAAAGGGGTTTCTTATTTTAGGCCTGCTTATCTCTTACTCTGCCTTTCAAACTGATTAAACATTCTTACCTTGATATGAAATCCGCCGAAGTAGTTGTATGTCTCCTTGGCTTCGAGCACGCTGAAAGACGAACAAAATGTTCAAATGAAGCAATGCAAGAGATCTATGAACCTGAAGACACTGAAACTGTGTTATGGGCGCGCGCTCGCGCGCTCTGTAGTAGACCGCATATTAAAACTTAAACCTTGGTAATGAATACCCTCTGATTTCAAACGCAGCACGCAAATAGGTTTTCCTTCTTCGGGCAGCCGTATGGCCTCCAAAATCATGGCTGGCCAGGGCCTTTCCTTTTTGGCCCGTTCATTAATGGATCGGTGGAACTATATTTAACAGCACTGCTAACTCTTGAAGATAATTTGCATCTCATTTATGGCGTCAAGTGCTACAAAGAAAGCAAAGGCAGGACCTCTTTTAAAAAAGGCGCGCACATGAATTAGACAACCGTAGAGCATGGATACCAAGCAAAAGCTCCAAGAATCATATTGATACTGATGTATCGCATCTTATGAGTGAAAGTAAACTTGTTGTCACAAAGAAGCAGAGAGTCACTACAAGCAAATCTGGCAAGAATTTCACGTTCAACAAGGTCTGACATATGGTAATAACTGAGATCAGGACACACTCGTTCGTTGATTACGGGCGAGTTGATTTCCATGAGATAGCTCACAGCTTTGCTTTCTACACTACAAATCATTAAACAAGCGTGGTGAGAATGCATGTAAAAAAGGAGGCAAGAATTATTTGCAGTATGCCAGCCACATACCAGACTAGTCGGGAAGACATGGGGGGGTAGGGCGATTACGATGACGCCGGCGAGATGTTTTGTAGACCTTGTCTATTCGATCAAGCCAGCAACAACCAGGCAACAGTGTCGTCGAGGAAACGTAGGGTGGGCCAATGACAAAATATTGAGATGAGAGTTGGGGCGCTGAGATCGAAAAGCATTGATGATATGCATGGAAACAAAGGCGAAATAGAAATATTCTCCAGACAGGGAGTGACGGGTGGGAATCTGCGGGTTTGCAGTTGTTTATTTTTATGATGAAGACAGAGCTCAGCGGGAGAGCACGGGTGTGGAAAACACGGCGAGAGGATATGTCCATAAGCAGTAATAATTTGCATAACGCGGCGGGACAGGAGACGCCTTTTTGTCTTTCCCCCGCTTTCCAGCAGAAGTCAAGCCTTTGTCAACAGTATTTAACGCCTAACAAGCTTGTTTCTTCTTCTCTCACAAAAAGTCCGTCAGGGCAAAATCACCGTCTGTTGGCCAGATGAGGAGTTAGTGTACAGTACCTCATAACTCTGTTTTGCACCTACTGTACAACAAAGTCTCATGAATGTAATATTGTTTCTGTCAGAGCTTCATCTCCCTCCGCCCTTCTCTCTAGTGTCTAGGTGACAAATGGCCTCATATGAGGTCACTTTTCAACTTAATTTTTCTCGACTTGTGCGAGCTGAACAAAATGGAAAAAGATACTCTCGCCACCGCAGTTGACTTCTGCGCTTTGGAAGGGTGGAGCTTGGTGAGATCTGCATGTCCTTTCCAGGCTTTTTGAGAATACCTAAAGAAGAAGCTTTTTTAAAGAACATCAAAACGTTTTTTGTTGATATCTTCGAAACCAAAACGCCTGTTTAAAATATCATCCGATTGTTGAAACTATATTAGATTCTTAGTATTTCTGTGTATTCATAACTGCTATCCCGATGTTTTGCAGGAAGCTATTACCGAGGGAATATTGGTTAAAGAAATGGTGTCTAAACTGATTTTATAAAATTTCGATTTAATGTATACATTTTTGCAAAAAAAAACCCGGCCTCATATGAGGCCAAGCCTGACCTCATATGAGGCAAATTGCCGGTCGTCTAGACACTAGCAAGGTTGTTTGGGTCTTTGGAGAGTCTGGGTGTGGAGTGCGATGTGAGCAATGCCTTATCGCACTTGAGGTCCGCAAAATGAGCTTTTCTAGAAGCTAGAGGCATGACAGGGTCAAAGGCAACAACAGCAGACTCTAATAACAGAGTTCTGGCCGGGTAGTGGTTCTGCCATCTGATTGTGCCGCTCCGAGTTAGTGCCGTATTATTAGTCCTTACACGGGGCGGCACTAATGCGTAGGGTCGACTGGAGCCCTTTTTAAATAGGGGAAATTCTTCAGGCGCTTATCTCTTGGAGTCAGGCATAGCGAATGAGAGATTATGAGTGGGTGCGTAAGGCAAGTAGTCAGTACATCACCGTACCTGAGGGGGGTGACTGCTGTACAGGATCATTGCTACATCCAATGAATGTGCACTTGAGTGCTCCGACGTGTTGTTGTGCGCCGTGTCGTTGAGAGCCGGCCCCCCCTTTCTTGGGATCTGTATGTGCTCTTCTCCCCCCATCGTTATGTCTCACATGACCACTTTTTCTTAAGTTCAATCATTGCCTCATACGCAGCCCCCTCCCCCCACCTTAGCCTTTCTCTGCCACAAGTCACTCTAGGCATGTCTTTCCCTCACTACCCCACCAACGCATCCCAGCCCTACTACCATTACATGTACAACTGCCTTCCCCATCAACCTGCAGCATACCCACATCCCCAAAACTCCAACTACGGTTGGCCTGCATCAAACAACCTTGCCTTCAACCATCCCAACCACCCTCATCATCCATACACCCACATTCTTCACTACTTCCACGTACCCTCACCGGCCAACCCTGGCCACTCAGCCTACGCCCCTTACAACCAACAACACTTCGCGGCCCCACACCAATACGTTCAACCGCCCACTCCTCACCGTTTTGAGCAGCCTCACCCGCCCGACTACCAACACTATCAGCGAAGGCCTTCTCACCGCCACATGGACCGCTACGTCGCCCAGGCGCGCGCTGGCTCACGCCTGCCTCTCAAGACCATCTATCTTGTTCGCCATGGCGAGTCTACGCACAATGCCCAATCACATTCCTACCGTCGTGTCGGCTTCAATGATGCCTCCTACCTCGACGCTCCTCTCACACAGCTTGGTGGGGGACAAGCCGCACGTTTAGTACACCACCTGCCAACACTTGATATCGAGCTCGTCGTCGCGTCGCCACTGAGACGGGCCACGCAAACTTGCTTCATCGCCACGGAAAAGATGCCACAACCGCTGCTGCCGCTCATTCATCCCCTCTGCATTGAGCGCCTTGCCACCGCAGGCGACATCGGCTCTCCAGTCAGTGTGCTAGAACAGAAGTACCGGTATTTGGACTACTCTCGTCTCTCACCTGAGGATAGCTGGTGGTGGTCCCCAGTGGGAGCTCAAAGCCGTGGCCAGATGGAGAGTTTGAAGCTCCTGTGGAAGTATCAGGGCTCCAATAGGGGCATGGAACCCAAAGATCACTTCATGAAACGAGTTAATGACTTTCGACTATGGTTGCTCCAGAGGCCCGAGACCACTATCATTGTCTTTTCCCACGGTGTTTTCTTGATGCACCTCATGGGTGACCGGACACCGGGCTTTGAAAATGGGGAGATCAGAAAGCTGATTTTGTAGCTTTTCCATCTTTGAGGGTGGCCTTCAACAGCGGCGTCTCCGCCTTGCTTCGCTTCCTAAACTTGCCGAGCGTGTTTCGCTGGAGGGAAAGAAGGCGTTCTTCCGTGCCCAAATGTTGGTAGTGGCGTTCACCAGCACAGATTCAATCGCTCTTTCAGTTCTAAGGTTTCACGAAACCTGGTGCGCCTGTTCCACTCTTTCGAATGGACAATACACTACAAGACCAGAAACACTTTCGATATCTTGTACGCTTGCCTGCCCAACCTTTTTGGCGCACGCTTCGGCGCGCAAAAGTAAACCGTTTTGGATTTTCGAAAACATCGTCCAGCCAGAGGCCCGTACATACAAAGCTTGTCAATGGTCAAACGGCTGTGAGGACGCATCTAGGCGAGAGAAACAGTATTACGGTTCACAGCAGAGCTGAGACGGTCCTCTTCATGAACGTTACAGCTCTCCGTGTGGTTAAGTACTGATGTCCTCATAAAACAATTCGAGACGAGAAAACCACCATTTCCGCAAGAAGGAACACGCCTTGGGTCCATCAGCTACCTTGCTCACGCTCTCTTTACACACTTTTATACAATAGGTTATGTACACACTTGAGTACAGTCATCTGAGCCAGTTCCAGTTACAGCCGACGTCCTCCAGCCGAAATACCTCTTCAATCGTCGGACAGATCAAAAAGTATCGAAGCTACCGTGTCTGCAGCAGGTGACGGAGTCATTGCGAACTCAACGAGCGCTGCCTCATGCGTAATCATGACGGAGCGATTGTTCGGAGCTTCCGCAAGGTTGAGCAGTGTTAGAGCAGCTCTTGGCGCGAACTCCGTGTCGGACAGCATGCCGACTAGGCGGTCCAGACACCGTGGCACACGGGCAATTGCATCTCGTGCAGGCCAATCGAACGCGCTAAAGTTACATAAGGCAGCCAGCCCGGCGCTCACGTATCGCCGATTCCTTCCGCTCAGCATATCTACCACACGCGGTAGAAGTTCTGGAAAGCTACTTACAATTGCGGCTTCATTCCGCTCGGGGCTGGCCGCGAGCCTTGCCAAAACCTCCCCAATGTTGGTGAACCGTGTTACTTCGGCACCCTCTTTAAATGGGTCTAGCAACTTGACGCATGCCATGAGAACGGTATGTCCTGGAGAGCCGGGCGTGGCCGTCATGACCGGAGAAACGTTCATCCACATATCTACCAAGCCCTCGCGCAAGTTTGCGCCGACGCCGACGTTCGAAATCATGACGGCCGATATGCCGAGAATCTGGGGCGACAAGGCCAGATACGCAGCGTTTCGTGGACAAAAACTCATATTCCTTAGAACGTTAACAGCAACGGTCGCGCACTGCTGACGATCAATGGCGATCGGATCTGCAAGATTGAAAAGGTTTGGATATTGCTGCAAACTAGAGGAACGGAGAAATTCTTCGTGGAGCGGATTCCGTGATACGCCAATGCCGGGACCTGTGAGGTCATGCCCAGCGTGGCGGATATCAACAGCGGCCATCTCGATGTCGCGCGGTGCGTTGAGATCAAGCTCCTCTATACCCGCTGCGACACCGTACGAGCGTTTCCTCATGACGTCTTCCAGATATCTATTAAGCACTTCGTTCAGCGCATCCAATATGCCCGGAAACTCCTGGGCCACAAACACATTCCTCGCATCAAACGACAATGCATTGAGTGTGCCGAGCGCCCATGCCACGTCGTCATGCATGGGACTCCACAGCGCCGAGACAACGCGCTCCTTCTCCCCCGGCTGCCCCGGTACGTACACGCCGTGCGGGGCATTGTCATTAACTATCTCATCATCAATAATCTGCTCCTCATACGGGCTCAAAGAAGCCTCATCCAAGCCCGTCAAGCGCGATCTCTTAGGAAACACGGGGAAGCCATACGGATCATCCGACACGGCGCTAGCAACGGCATTCGTAGCCGCGAGCGCCGCCTGCCTCCTCGGCCGGGAGGAAGTTTTCGGCAATGCGTACATCGGGGACATGCCGGGGGTGTGCGACGACAGGGACCTCCTATCGTAGTCGCCCGCGCGCATGATCGGGAGGGCAATGCGCTTGACCCTATCCGCCGGGAACAGCTGTGCGACGTGCTGCGGGTCGCGGTCCCACACGTGCTTCTGCTCGTACGCGTACAGCAGCTTCTCGTACTCGACGCGCAGAATGAAGGCGGCCGACGTGCAGCTCTTCGGCAAGTTGAGGGCCTTTGCGACCATCTTGAACGCGCGCGACAGGATGACTGCCTGCAGACCGCCGCGCTCCAGGACGGCGGTGTACAGGCCGTACACGTCCAGCTCTGCGCCGCCGATGCGGCGCAGCTTGAGCTCGGACCCGTTCTCCTTGAGGAAGTCGGCAAGGTCAGCTAGGAAGTCGGCGCGCGGGTCGCCGGTGCGCGCGGCGAACTCCGCGCCGCGCGCCTGCAGCGCGAAGCCGATCTTGGGCACGGATGCGCGGTAGTGCGCCAGCGACGCCTCGGAGAGGACGTCGGGCGGCTCGGGCACCGTGGCGGCCGCGGCGGGCGGCGCGGCGGGCGGCGCGGCGGGCGGCGCCGAACATCGCCCTGACCTTTGGGAGCACGCGGGACG